GAGTAACTCACACCCTTATATATTAATCTACATTTAGGTAATTATTCAATTTGAAATTTATCCCTTAACATATAATAACTCTACTTAATGCTCACTTTTAGTGTATTCGTCTTCTTTGATAAGCTAAAGCATATTTGAGAAGTGCTTATGAACAGTTTAAGTTATAAATAGATAGAAATGAGTGATAGATAGATGGACATTACTTGTAGATTTGTTAAAATGTTTGAATAAAAAATGACTTTGATATTTACAAACATGAACCAAACATAGGTTTGCATTTCTTGTACTGGTCTTGTTGCTGAAGCTACGTTTTGATAATATACACGGAATAGCTCCACACGGAATGACTAAGTGCTTGCTTGACAATGATTTTATTTTTGCTTCTAATTCTCGTAGAAAAGCTTTCTTGAAAAATTATCTAAACATGTTTAAAAGCGACTTTTAACTTTTCAAAAGTTCTGTCAAACAAAACCTAAGCCATTGTAAAATATCAACAAGTATTGGTTCAATGCAAAAGCACAATGTTATTTACTTTCAATACCGAAAAGTAGACCTGTGATTAGGCAATTTTCCTGTGATGAGTTATATTTATTTCATACTGAAAGGTCAAAATTACAACGGAAGTACAAGAACACAATTATAGAGAAGATATCGCACAAAAAAGAAATGAATCCTTATTTCATTTAGGGCTCAGAAACATTCATTGTACCCTTTTGTACAACGAAACGGCTAGAAGAAACACCAAAACCCCTAATTTATTGCACACTATAGTTACTCAATGGCTCGAAGGAACACAACCACAATCGTACCAAAAAATACTCTATCTCAAAGAACAACAAAGGTAGCAATCACACAGATTGGGGATTAAAATCTCTGGTTTTAATCATACACAAAGTATCACACAGAAACGAGAAGAAAGAATCACGAAGAACAGAAAGCCCCATAAGCTTCATAGACTAACAGAGAGAAAACAATGAAAAGTTCATACTCAAAAGGACTGTTCAACTGGTATATATACTCATTAGTATCGGCCAATTGATCAGCCATGAAATCTACGATCCAGAGCAATACAAGTGGCAAGATAAGTGGGCCAGGTTTTTGGGTCAGTTTCAATGTGTTATCTGGCAATGGTAAATAACATTCCAGCAATGGGCCAGGCCCAATTCATCATTGTCCAAACTGTTAGAAAGTAAATGACATAAATGGCATCACAATCTAATAAATCTCTCACTTGATGCCAATAAACAACCAAACACATTAATGTTTATCAACACCAACACCAAGAAAGCCATCACCTGCAGAAATACAAATTCACCCAGTATCAAGTTTTAGAATTTGTAAACATGATTTAAACTTGGTAAGAGGAAGTACCTTTGTTCCCATATCAGTGAGATTAAATTGTGTAGGTATTTTTTCAAGTAACTAGGTGCAAGCAACGTGCAATGCACGTTTGCCTAGTTTATATTTAATAGTTTTGTTTAAAAATTAATTTGTTATTAATAAAGATGTAATTTTTTTGGTTAATTAAATAATTAATGATGTAATGTTTATGTAATTGATAAATAATTAGATGTGTGATTTTGATGTTGTGATGTAAGTTGGTGAGATAGA